CAAAAATCAGAGGTTGAATCATCCACCAAGTCCTAGAAATAAAACCTAAATCAAAAGGTATCAACCATAAACCCTAAAAAGGGAGCCCCTAAAGTTTCAACCTAAAACTACCACCTACATTCATCACAAAAATGTGAGAAAAAGCTAGGGGGAACATGCATATCTATGCTAGCTACACACAAAAAATCAGGGCAATAATCATCATCACCTGATCAAACCAAATTCAACAAAATCAAGCATCAACCATGGTCATTTTAATATCAATTAAAATGTAAAAAATGCTAATAAAATCAAGCATCAAATTCAACAAAATCAAGCATCAACCATGGTCATTTTAAGCATCAACCAGGTCATTTTAAGCATCAACCTTGATGAATCTTGTCCCAAATTTCCTCAGGAGTTCACTCATGCCACTAGTTCATGCTAAAAACTCAAGATTTTCAAAAACACGATCTCAACCGAAAATTGAATAAACCCTAATTGGTCACTAATCTCCAAATTAATGATCCAGAAACCTTCCTACATCAATCTACAATGCATTTAATCTAACAAATCCTCTTGATTCTACTTAAATTAAGCCATAGAATGAGGTTTACATGCCTGTCAAAATCGTGTGAACAGAGTGCTCAAACCTTCAAATCAACCCTCAAGAACTTCCAGACTCCTTCACTAGCATCCAAGGAAGGTTCTGTATGCAACCAAATGGATTGAAATACTCTGAATCTTTGAACCCGACTATGAGTTGCAGATGAAGAAATCCAAGTGCCAACTCCTAATTCTCCCACGATCTTGCCTTGAATTTGATCTGAAATCAATCACCAACTCTAGAGCAAGCTATTGAGATCAATATCTTGGATTGAAATGGCTTCAAACCTTGTAACAGATTTTGATTTGCAAGAAGAAAGTTCACAATGCAATCTCACTCTCCTCTCTCAATTCTCACCAACCTTCACTCTGAACCACTTCATAATCATATATAGGACATGGATGAATGATCTAGAAAGTTCTGGATCACTCTAATGAGAAGTTCAATATCTCATCTCACTTGAAATCTCATGATATGCTATGTGTATGACAGTCCTTGCAGCAGCTTACATTTACTATGCTCTTCATCCAAATTCTCTCCAAATGAGATTATGAAAGTGCTAGGATGTGTTTGTACCTTGGTTTTGATGTTATGAGAAGTTTGGCATATGTTACTTAAGTCTTAAGCAAGCAAAAGCAACTCCATGATTTTGACCTCAAATGAGAAAATTAATATTTCCAATGTCTTTAAAATGTCATTTCTGATCAAAATGACATATTACATGCCTTATCTTGGCCTTGAAATGAAAAATCCCAAATTTGGTCCTTTTAATGAACTTTTTAATTCTTCCTTTTTAAGCCAATTTTGCAATTTTGAGTTACAAGAAATTCCAACCTCTAATGACCACTTGGCTAGCCTTAAAACATCATTTTGAACAAGTTTGATGTTGAACATTTTCCCATTTGAAGCTTGCAAATAGGAGTTATGGCCTTATGATTGAAATGACCTGTAATCTCCAAATAACCAAAATACCCTTGACTTGTCAAAGCCATAACTTGAGTTCTAAAAATCCTATCAAGGACTTCTAGTACTCTCTAGAAAGCTAAGAGGATAAGGAACAACATTCATGTTGACCAAAAGTTCATGGGAATCATACTTCTTGGGCAAACGTTTCATGCAAGTTGGGTAACTTTCAAGCTCCAAATTCACATTCCTCAGATGACTTGTAACTTGTCAAAGCCATAACATGAGTTCTACAAATCCTATCAAGGACCTATAGCACTCAAATTAAAGCTAAGATCATGCTCTAAAACATTCATGTTGGGGGAAAGATGAGATGACAATCACATCTTGAGCTAAAATGCCTTGAAGATAGGGGTCAAACTAGGGGATTTTACACTGTCAAGCCTTAGAAACCCTGGCTTGAGACTTTTCAAACTCTTCAATCATGATGAGTTAACCTTGGAATCATCCTTAGAACATCTTAATGCATCAATCCATGATCACATGGCCCTTATATTAGGTCTCAACCTTCTTCAAATCATCAGTTGACTTAGGGTTGACCCAGTCAAACCCTAATTGCACCACTCAAGGCTGAGGCTTCTCAAACTTGCACAATGACCTGTCTAGGACTCAAAGTGATCTTTCACCCTTATCATGAGCTCTCTCAAGACCTCAAGTCTAACTTCATGGCTTCATAATCATCTGATGGATTTCCACAACTCTCAAGTTAGGAGACACACACTCTTGGTTTCAACCACTCTCTCTGAGGATCTTTCAACTTCTCTGACAAGGATATCAACCCTTGAACATCTGAATAACCTTCTTAGCTAGCTTCATAGCCTTGTGTAGCTCTTAATTGGTAATCATACCTCTTGATCTCCTGCACACATGTCAATGAAATGCAAATGACAATGCTAATGTGAATGAAATGAAACATAAGGTAGGTAAAGAAATGATGGGCAAATTTTGGGGTGCAACATTAGGCTTCTTCATGCTCAGCCATTCTGGTTAACTCTTTGGGAATCTCGAATTCCTTGTCAAACGCTTCTTCAGCTTGGAAAATAAATGAATCGCTACCAGAAGGAAACGAATGATCATTGGATTTTATAGGTGATGGAGGCTTTCTGCATGGTTTTAAAGGGTTTAGCATTATCAGACACACACACAACAACATGCAGATGATGGATTCAATTTTAAGTTTTTCCAAAAAGATTGCCATTTTTTCTTTTTTACAAAAAAGTGAAAATTATGAAAAAAGTAAATGAACAAAAAGGACAAGAGTTTTAACAAAAACAATTCTTCATTCATTAATCTTTTTAATCGCAAAGTGGCCTATACAAAATGATTCGCTGGCCTTGGGCAAGACCAGAAATTTCAAAGAAAACAAAAGTTAACAAGCAATGCATTACTCTAAAGGTAGCACAACAAGAATTTCCACCACCTCCGAATTGTGTAAGGCCGCTCCATATCAGGTCACCAGATTGTTGAGGTTGCTTCTCTCATCTTCTTTAAGGATGGCATTGACTTGTACCCCGCCGCTTACAAACATCTCCTTTAGGGTTTTCTGCTTCTGGTTGTCATCTTCGGACACTTCTTCCAGATTTGGTTTGTAACCCAACCCTTGCTTGTCATTTTTGGCGCGAGCATTCACTTTTATAACTTCTCCCCATCCCCGCGGGAGTCATTCCTCCATTGCAGCTTTTATGCTTTGCACGGAGGCAAAAGATGGACCACAAACTATGGCAGAGTCATCACTTAACACAACATGAGCGATTTCCAGGGCTTGAAATGCCGTTTCTAGTGTATCCTCGTCAGCTTTGATGTATCAGAATGATGACAGGTTGCTCACCATCAAATCTTCCTCCCTATACACTGTGACTAGCTGACCATCAGTGACAAATTTTAGCTTTTGATGCATGGTAGAGGTTACAGCTCCCGCCGCATAGATCCAAGGTCTTCCCAATAAACAATTGTAGGCTGGATTAATATCCATGACTTAGAATGGTACTTCAAAACATTACGGACCCACCATTATTGGTAAAGTCACCTCTCCAATTACAGACTGTTTGGATCCATTGAATGCCTTTACAACAAAAGAGGTTGCTTTCATAATTGCTCCTTGTTACATCCTAATTTTGACCCTGAACCGCTTTCCCTACGTATCATAGCATTTTCATCATTTGTGCATCATATCCATTACTCCTGTCATCTACCATGATGCATAGATGTATTTTACTTGCTGCCAAAGCTCAGATGTTGTAGGATTGAATCAAGGACCAGGAAACTTATCAGGTTAAAGGTCCTGGTTACGTGGTTCACACTTCTAGTCAAGAACGTTTCAAGGTGGGCTCAAGATGTGGATTTGTTTCTCATTTGGTTTCATCCGTTAAGACTCTAGATCGAGTATGCTTGATTCTATTTTCTAAAGAATGGATTTAAGGCTCTAAGTTAGGACATGTGGAAAAGTGCAAATATTCTCAAGGATTAGCTTTCAAGCATTTGTTCAAGAATAAAATAGATGATCCAAATTTTAAATTTTCCTTTTCAAAATTCAAGTTAATAGTCACCTTACGAATTCCTCCAAGTCTTAAGTGCATGACTAAAGTTTCAATCATGTCAAGTTTTTGAAGAGTACGAAGGCATTCATTTCAAATTCATCATGTTTTAAACGAGGCATTATGTTTGAAGTTTTCATTTAGCTTTTGAGTTACATTATTAAGAGTTAAAGTGAATAAGGTCTCAAGTCAAGACACTCAGTCAAAATTTTCTAATCATTCGCAAACCATGATTATGAGACCATACAAATTCTGTCCTATTCAAGTTTCCTTCCAATTTCCAATTTGATTTCATTTCCATTTAAATTCCAATTTCATTCAATCCATTTTTTAAGCGCATTTCCAAGTTTAATCAACCACCTCTCAACTTTCTTCAAGTCTCAAAATTCCATGGAAGATTCCAAATTTCAATTCATTCTTTTTCTTTTTTTTTTGAGCTTTTGGTTTTACATACGCGTCAAACTCATCTCAAGAGTCCAGTTCACTCTTATTCAAACTAAGTACATGATTGCCAAAATTTACGTTTAAAATTCTAAATTCATGTCTAAGACTTTCACCTTAAGATTTCAATTTCACATTCTTATTTTAATTTTATGTCCAAGTTAAATTTTAATATTCTACCCCAAAATTCAAGTTCCAAGGTTCAACAAAAATCCAGTCTACGATTTACAAAATTCTTTCCAAAATACATGTATGTGCCAAAATTACAAGTTCATGGTACAAAGATAAATAATAAGCTATTATACGTGCTCTAGTCAATGCTTTTCAGTTCAAGCCAACCATCCACAAGTGTTGATGAATCTAGGAAAATACACGCACATAATGAAACATGGCAGACTCGAAGAGTGAGAGTTGATATTCAAGCAGCCGCTGATGCAAACCTTCAAACCCGCTAGCAAAGGAAACAATGGAAATAATTATCTAAGATGTACGACATCAGCGTGACCCCACCTCTTCCACAACAAGGTCGTACAGCTCCCAAAACACACAAGAAACCTGCTGCTACCACGATATAACCTACAAACAGCCATAACTTTGTTTTTGCGACAAACTTGCCAACAAGATTTGCGAAAACCTGTCGCGTATACACCCACAAGCCAACATACAATTGCACTGCAACACACCAAACAAGCATCCCGTCGTACAACCAGCATACCACACAAAAACCAACAACCATAAACCAATTCACGCCGGGCCAATAAACAAAAAAAAAGCCATTTGTACACCACCAATTTTCAGAACTCAGAAAATATCATAAAAAAACTACTACAAAATTAAAACGGCATCACAACAGAAATGGATTCACTCACCTCATTTTTCCTCTATAAATACACACTTGAATTCACTCGTTCGATCAAGTTTGGCGGAACCGCCGTTACGCTGCAAAAACCATACTCAAATTCCATCTCCTTCCTTCATAGTTGTTCCTTCTTTGGAGGCCTCCGATTCACATGAAAAAGGGAAAATGATAATGGTTAACAACAATCATAATCTAAACCATAAATAAGCAAGTTTTAGGTACCAAATCAACTCATTCAAAGACCATTTTCATATTCAAGAATGAGCAGTATTTCGACAAAATTCAGGGCATAACCGAGTTAATCCCACAATTCATTTTCATTTTATCGATTTATCAATTGGACCACACATGCTCAGAATAGGAAAAAATAGAAAAATAGAGGCAATGACAGAAATTTATGGTACAACAAGTTTAACACCAAAGCGGAAAAAGCAAAAAACCATAACGGACAAAATGGCCAACAAATTACATGACCAAAAAGCATAATGGTACGGTCGGAGTTTTGTCGTTCACATGGTTTTGTCCCAAAGGAAAAACCCTAATCAGGTTCTATAAAAGGATACCACTATTCATTAAAAAGTGTGGTTTTTCCTAGAGACAAAAACCCTAGAAACGGCGGCGAAAAAACAAGAAAAAAGAGGGATTGAAGGGAAGCTATTACCTGCGCTTTTGAGTCTTCAAGGGTGAGTCTCTTCGTCTCAGATTTATTTCCTCTGCATATGTCGTTTCCTTGCCTTCCATTTCTTTGCCACAACCTCGTTGATTAAGGGGATTAGGGTTTTAGAGAGGGGATTTCTGATTTGGCTTTTTGGGTTAGGATTTTGTTAAAATTGTTTTCATATTCATACTCGGGATAAAAATTTAGGTTGGGTTCGTGTGTGGCTCGTGGGGATTTGGGGTGTTTGAACGCTGGAGAAGACGGTGGCGCCGTCGCCGTTTGCCGCACTTCTCCAGCCATGCATATGGAGAGAAGGATAGAGGAATGGTGAGTTGAAAGAGGACGTAGTGTTTGGATCTGAGAAGGTTCCCAAGTGTTTTTAAGTTTTGATGGTTTGTGATGATGACTCCCCACGTGTCACCGTGTGGTGACGCATGATTGTTGATGACGACACGTGTCATCATCATAGCGCATCATCAGCTTTCCGATTTTAATCCTGTGTGCTACCTCTTTGCTCCCTACCGTGCGCCATCGTACTTCCAGCCTTTGGATTCATTGCCCAGGTTGGGATCTGACGGTCAGGGGTAACTGAGGGTCCACGATGGACCCCCCTCTCTACCTGGGCCTTTGTTTTGGGCCTGGGGTTGTGCTGAATGCACCCCCATTTTGCTTATCTGACAGGCCTATTTTCTTTATTATTTAGTTTTATTAATTGGTAAAATAAATATAAAAATGTTTTGTAACTACGTTAATTATATTTACTAGTAATTAATTAAATTATTAATTTATTTTAATTTTATTTTAATTGGTATTATTAATTTTTAGAAATATGTATATAAGGGAAAATCATTTGTTAATTACATTAAATATATTTACTACCAATTAATTTAATTATTAATTGATTTTTTTTATTATTTATTATTATTATTATTATTATTATTATTATTATTATTATTATTATTATTATTATTATTATTATTATTATTATTATTATTATTATTATTATTATTATTATTATTATTATTATTATTACGTTATGTAGAAAAATATGTATATAGAAAAATGATTTGTTAATGGTGTTAAATATATTTACTATTAGTTAACTAAATTGTTAATTTATTTTTTTTGTTTTTTTATTAGTAGAAATATGTGTATAGAGAAATAATTTGTTGATTACATCAAATTTTTTTAATTAAATAATTAATTAATTTTTTTTATATATATTTATAATTGGTAGAAAAAGACATATATATGATTTTGTTGGTCATGTTAAATATAATTATTTAATTAATTAATTTTATTAAATATTCATTTTTTTATTTAATAGTTTTGGTGTTTGATAGTTCGATTTAAATTCTATAATTTCCGATTATTTATCGTGGTCGTATGATTTCGTTATATGTTTTGGCTACACCGTGATCGTACTTAACAAGTTCTTACATACCCATTCAAGATAATAATAATTTCTCGATTCAACATCGAGCCGCTTTCACCCTTGTAAGTCGAGTGCCTATGCCTCGCCATCGACCTTACCTACATTCTTAGGATCTCATACTTCTAGTTCAATCGCTTTCGCATCATACGTAAACTTAAACCTCGATTCCCGTCGATCGTTTTATTAAAGCAAACTTAATATACTTAATCATATCTAAACTCAATTTCGATAAAGATAAAAAGGGAGTAGGAATCGAGTCTTTGATTCCTCTTCTCAATTGTTTGGGCCCGAGGAGCCTTTCTTAAGCTCGAACAATTGCATTCTAATCTGAAAACGAAATCAAATCTATTTTCTCAATACTTAGATGAAAAAGAGAGAGAGTCAAGCCTTTGACTCACTTTCCCGATTACTTGGGCCCAAGAAGCCTTTCTTAAGCCTCGAGTAATCGTCATTTATAAGCCACGCTAATTATATTAAAACTATTTCATAAAAAGAGAGGGAGTCGAGCCTTTGACTCACTTTCTCGATTACTTGGGCCCGAGGAGCCTTTCTTAAGCCTCAAGTAATCCTCATCTGATTAAAAATACTTTAACTATCTTATATCGTTCAAAATGCTTTTCCTACGCAATCTCAATTCGAGATGAAAAAGAGAAAGAGTCAAGCCTTTGAGTCACTCTTATGATTACTTGGGCCCAAGGTGTAACAGCCCGATTTTTCATTAGTTAATTATTTGCATTCATTAATGGGTTAATGAGAATTATTTAATTGATGGGTAATTAATTAAATGAATGAGTAGATGTTGGAGAGATTTAGAAGAGAAATACATATTAAAAAGGAGAGTGAAAAGAAAAGGAAAAGAGAGAAACAAAAAGGAAAGAATAGAGAAAGAAGGAGAAAGAGGAGAAAAGAGAAGAAGAAGAGGGAAGAACTTGGAATCATCAAGGACCACTCTCAAGCTTTGGACTAATCAAGGTAAGGGTGAAAAATATCATTATCTTAACAATGTATATAGTTGTGTATGCTTGGGTTAGAGTATTGGATGTTTTTCTACAACTTCCATTTTAGGGCATAAATGGATTAATCGGTAGAATCTGAGTTTTCACGGTGGAAAATGAGAATAAGTGGTAGTATTTAGTCGGGAGGATGTTAGACTAAGGTTACGGAACTTATTCGGTGAGAATCGGTTAGTTTTGGAGAGTTTGGTGGGAGTTGGACAGTGAGAAATTTTGAGTTCGCAGACATTCGCTAGCGTGTTCGCTGAGCGAGCTGGTAGTGAATGTTCGCTAAGCGAAGTAGTAGCGAGCCAGTAGCGAACGGTCCCAGACTTGGACAGAATGCATGTTGTGGTGTTCGCTGGTAGCGAAGGAGGTAGCGAAGGTTCGCTAGGCCTTCGCTGAGCGAGCGAGGTGGCGAACAAAGTCAGAAGCTTTTGTTTGCCTTCGCGAGCTCGTTCGCTGGGCGAACAAGTAGCGAATACTCGCTAGGAGCTCGCTAAGCGAGCAGAGTAGCGAACGTGACATGATGTGTTTTTATTTAATGTTTTCATCCGAGGTCGGATTTCCAACTTAACTTTGATTATTTCCATGCTCGAGGCGTCGATTACGCCGGGATATATTATACTGTGGGTAGCCTTACGGCGTGAATCCTAGATTGTGAATGGATCGGAATTGTGATTCGTGGAGAAATGTAATACATTGTTATAATTTATTTAAAAATGTATGAAGAATGCATGAGAACATATTGTGTATATGTGTGCATTGTTTGTTAATATATTGATGATATGTATGAATATGTTGTGTGTGCAATCGTTGTGATAATTCTTGAAGAGATGAATTATTTGAATGCATGAGATTAAGATGTCGGTCTTAAGTGCATTGAATTGTTGATTACATATGCATCATTTAGTCAAGAGGCAATGCTTGCTAGTTTCGTGAAGACTAGTGACTTGTCCCAAGTCTAGAAGAGTGGGTTTAAAAGCTTAGAGGACGAGCTTTTGGTGGTTATCGGTCTAGAAGAGTGGACCCGGTTTAATGTAAACTGAAAAAAGATAACAAGTGTTGGTACCACATGGCATAAGTTTGCATTGAGTCGTATTGAGTCACATAGCATGAATGTCATTATTTTATGAAATATGGTTGTGTGTGGACTATGTATATGAGTTAAAATGGATTGTGGTGAGAAATGTAATGTATGTATGTTTTATGTTATGTATGTATATATAATTATATGCATTGATTATTATGATAATATTTCTCACCCTTCCTCTGTTTTATAATGCTCTATGAGGCATTGCAGATTAGGATTGCTGGAGGTTTTCTTTTGGTGAAGTATAACTTCATTTTTTTGAGTCGGTTGCTCTGATATGTAACATCGGGTAGCTAGGCTTGTAGAGTATTCTTTTGTGATACATTGTATATGTATCAGCTGATGATGTTTGTAAAATATGAATGATACTATGAAAAACTTGATGATGCGTACTTCTATTATATCATGTCTTAAGTAATTCAATGTTCTAGTCTTCCGCTTTAATCAAAACATTGATATATGGACTCTAAGAGTTATGCTTTACTTTTAGTTGAGATTTACCCCTTTTGTTTTATGTCTTTATGAACATTATTATTTATGTTGTCGTTTCGTGAATAATATGATACGCCTCTTTTATACCATGTTATAAATATACTCTGAGGAGTTTTGTATATGTGATTAAGTGTTTAATTGCATTATTTTGGGGGTATAGAAGAGGGTGTTACATTAAGTGGTATCAGAGCAGGTCGGCCAGTTGGCCAAGTTGTTAACTTGTTTATTCCCTTGTATATCTGATTGTGTGTGACACTATCGATATTGTTTGACCTTGTAAGTTCTGTTGTTGAGATACAGAACAATGGTGGCTGGTAGGAACGACGAGGCGATTGCGGAGGCTTT